AATAATTCATACATAAATCATTGTCTTATCAGTTTCTGTAATATTTGACTTTGCACACGCAAATATATATATATATTTATTTGACACACACACACACATTTTCACACACACATATATATATATATATATATATTTTATTATATATATATATATATATATTATATCGAAACCAAATTTCTGAAGGTGAAGGTGTATTTATGGGAAAAAATACAAGCTTCAATATCTAAGACAGAAGAATATTATAAAACCCAAGTGAAAATTCCTTTTGAAAATGAAAGATTTAACATTTCATGCTATATTGGATCGTTTGTTATTCCCCATTGCGTCTTAGCATGAAAACAGTGTTTTTTAGGTGTTTAATTGTTTCAATTTTCTATATATACATATATATATATATATATATATATATATATATATATAAAATTTGTGTGTGTGTCTGACTGTGTATGTATATATATATATATTTAACGTATATATATATGTATATATATATATATATATATTGTTTTTTGTAAATTTAAATTTGCAATATGTTAAAAATCACTATAAAATAGAAAGTTTTTATCATTTTTAACATTTAATATACCATAGTCTCCTGAAGTCATGCTCTTAAACACCATCACTTCATAATACAAACAAATTTATATTATATATATATATATATATATAATATAAATATGAAGAAATAATAGTTTACAAAATGCTATTTTTATTTTTTAAAGTGCTTATCAGAGATAGAGCGTGTGAAAATATAAATAAATAATATAGAAGTTTTTATGTCTTAAATCAAATTTTAAATACATGACTTTACATATTTATATTATATATATATATATATATGATATATAAATATAACTAGCATAAAACCAAAAAATATAAATTGTCACCATTCTCCAAAGCGTTTGATAGGGTTTGGAATGCCGGCCTTCTTCAATTTCCAGCAGGGTTATGGCATTACGGGTCGACTATTTGACCTAATACAATCATTCCTGTCACACCATGAACTGAATGTCGTTCTCAACGGATTCTCCTCTACTTACTATCCCACAAACGCAGGTGTTCCTCAAGGCTCCATCCTGCCCCCCTCCTCAATACTTTATCTACATAAATGACCTTCCTGTCGCCATAAATTCCCAAGTTGGCATCTACGCGGATGACACCACAATTTACTTTTGCCTCAAAAACAAAACTGACAAAACTAACCTGGCCGTGCGTCGCGAAAAAGACCTCCAATCGCTTATGAACTTGGACAGGAATTGCCTGGTAAACTTTAATGCCTCAAAAACAAAACTGCTCTCTATTAATCACGACAGAGATACTTCCCTGCCCTCCATTAGAATGTCTGGCGCTCAACTTCTCGAAAGCAACACTCTGCGTCTGCTCGGTCTCACGTTGACTGCTGACCTGAGATGGAACAAATACATTGAGTCAATTGCTTCGTCCACCGCAAGGAAAGTTGGCTCCCTGTGCCGCACCAGGAAATTTTTCTCCCCGGAATCGATCCTCCAGATCTACAAATCAACAATTCGCCCTTGCATGGAGTATTGCTGCCATATATGGTCTGGAGCCCCTTCTGTTTGCCTCGGGGTTCTTGATAGGCTCCAGAGGCGGATATGCAATATAATTGGCCCTGTTCTGGCATCTCGTCTACAGTCACTCTCTCACAGACGCGCCGTCGCCTCTCTCTGTCTTTTTTTTACAAATACTTTCATGGCAATTGCTCCGAGGAACTGCATTCGCTGGTTCCCAGACTTCATGAATTCAAGCGCCCCTACGAGGCTGGCATCCCGCTCTCACCCTTTCACTGTCGAAACTTGTTAAATGTACCGTCTCTTCTACTCCAATAGCTTCATGTCTCACACCTCTCGCCTTGGAACTCCCTATCTTCTAAAACCACTGTTTCCCTGAGAGCTATAATCTCCAACTATTCAAATGTAATGTCAATCAACATCTCCAGTTGCCTTATCTATCCACTATATATCTCATCCTTTCTTCTATCACTCCTATCTGATCTTTCTATATTTTCTATAACCCCTTATATACTAGTGGCTTCCCACCTTGCTTGGCAGTGAAATGTTTAAAAAAAAAAAATTTCAAACCTGAAGTCGGTAATAAATAGGCAAATGCAAACAAAGGAGTTAAAAGCTGTCAGATACTTTTTCAATTTATATTTATAATGTCCCAAATTGAGGAAAAGATTGTCAAAAATTTGAGGAATTTTCAAAAAATATTGAGGCAATCCATACTTTAAATTGATCTTTCCGTCATATTCGTTAAAATATTCGTAAAAAAGGCTCACTGAAAAATATAAATATTATATATATATATTTATATAAATTCATAAAATACATTACATACATATATACGTAAAATGCTCGATATGTTAGAGCGTGGATGAATATAAAAGCTGTCATTAAAAGAAAAAAAATATTTCGACAGTCTGTCTTATTTATTGGATGCAAAAATAATTTTGAAGTTTAAAACAGTCTGTCGTCACTAGATGCTTACTTCAATACATCTCGGTCCCACAATCAATCTCACCTTATTCAACATTAGAATTTTTACCATTAAAACGATTCCAAACACCAAAAGTCTTTCAATATCGGATATCGGAATAAATAATTTAGTATTCAAAACAGTTGAAAAATATTTATTATACAATCAGACATGGAAAAATTACACCCACCCACATTATAAAAAGAAATGGCTATAAAGTGACTTAAAAGCATAAATTGAGATCAACATTACAATGGCCATTTTTTTTGATTAAAGTTTCATTCCGCCAAACGAAATCAAAATGTAAAATGCTGGATCTGGATATTTTCAGATGAGGTTTATGTAAAAATTTTACATTATTCGGACTATTGTAGTTCATACATGGATAAAACCATGGAGGACTTTTACCAAGGAATTAAAAAATAACTGATAACCTGTCTAAAACATGGCACAAGGAACTAGAGCAGTCTGTCCCAGTGAGTCAAATAAAAGGTTCAGTTCGACATTCCAACCACCTGCAGAAGGCCAGATGCAAAATTCTACAAATTGTAATAAATATGGCGACAGAGATGAGGACAATTTGTTAATAATATAAATAGTATATAATACCTCATCTCAGAAATATAGACAGATACTGAAAGGCCAAACTTTGTAATTTAATATGGCGACAAAGATGAGGACAATAGTCCGAATAATGTAAATAGTGTACATAAATAATTCATCTCAGAAATATAGACTGATATGAAAGGCACATTTCGTTGGAATAAATATGGCGACAAAGATGAGGACAATAGTCCGAATAATGTTCATATTACATAATACCTCATTCAAAAATATAGACAGATACTGAAGGGCCGAAACAATTGTAATAAATATGGCGACAAAGATGAGGACAATTGTCCGAATAAAAAAAAATTGTAATAATAAGTCAATTCAGAAATATAGACAGATACTGAAAAGGCTGAAACGTTGTAATAAATTTGGCGTTTTCGAAGATAAAACACAATATTCCGAATAATGTAAATAGTTACATAATAAATCATCTCAGAAATATAGACTGATTTGAAAGGCCGAAATATTGTAATAAATATGGCAACAAAGATGAGAACAATAAATGACGAATAATGTAAATAAATTATAATACCTCATCTCAGAAATATTGACAGATTCTGAAATTGAAACGTTGTAATAAATATGGCGACAAAAACTAGAACAATAATCCGAATAATGTTAGTTTCATAATCCGTCATCTCAGAAATATAGATTGATTCTGAAAGGCAAGAAACGTTGTAATAAATATGGCGACAAAAATGAGGACAGTTTTTCGAATAATATAAATAGTATATATAATACCTTTTCTCAGAAATATTGAGAGATGACAAATGAGGTATAGCTAAAACTAAAAATTTCCAGAGCTATATATTATTTTCCAGAAATTATTTTGATATTCTGGGAGAATATAATGCTATATAAAAAATAAAGATAGTTCAAGATAGATTGTAAAAGTGGGCAGGACATAAAATGTTATTAAATACATTGAATTGTTGAGGTTGGGGAGATTTATAGGGAAACATGGGTGGGATTTATATTTAAATATGTTAATATATGCTTCCGACATTTCAAAATATATTCAAATGGACGCTCAAGAAACAAACCGATAAAAAGAATGAAATAAAATAAATAGTAAGGCTGTGAAAGAACAAGAATGAAAATGGAAGAGGAAAATGGAAAAATTCTAAAATTTGAAATTAAATAAATAGAAGGAAAAGTAAATTCATTTTCATAAGATGAACTAGAAAAGAAAAATTAAACGACAAGGAAAATTAAAATTCGAGAATGAAAAAAAGAAATAGTAAATAAACGAAGAAAGATATCAGAAAATAAATATAAATATCAGAGGAGAGCAGATAATGAAAGTAAAAAAAGGAAAAAATTGGAGAATAATAATTTTGTGGTCTGATTAGTGGCTGAAAATACATAAAACCCTCTGAGAAAAATTAAAAGAGGAATGAAGAGGAGGAGCTGGGACTTTAAAGGAAGAAAGGAAGAAGAAAAAACCTTTTTTAAAGACACAGAACAAGAAATCAGGATTGATTAAATCATTCTTTTCTTTCAAAGAAGGTAGAATAATAATTTGAAAGAAGGAGGATGAGGTTGAAGAGAAGACCGGAGAAAAAAAAAAAAGAATCAAAAATTGGTAGATGATTAATAGTTAGTTGTAGGAGACAGTTCTTTAAGAAGAAAAAGAAAGAAAAAAAAAGAAGAAGAAGTATTCAGAACCATTCCAAAGGATTATTTGAAAAGATTAGTAAGTATATAGTAGTAGTAGTAGTCAGATAGTTAGAAGAAGAAGAAGGAGAAGAAATAGCAGAAGAATGGGCCGTGGTAGCAACCGCAATGAGACAAATTATTTCAATGAAGTGAGGGTCAATGAAAAGGAGCAGAGAAGGAAGAATTCCATTTTTAAAGAAGAAGAAAAAGAAGAAAAGAAGAAAATAAGAAAGATGACTTGTGATGATGGTGATGATGATGATGATGATGATGACGACGACGACGACAGCCAAAGAGATAACAGAAGGGAATGGAGAATTGTACGCAAACAGACAGAAGAAATGTGGAAACTAAAAAAAATGAAATAATATATATGTTTTTAAAGAGTAAATAGGAAAAAAAATAAAATATCTAAAAATAAGATAAATATATCATTCGAAAAGCAAAAAATGAGGAAAAATAAATTTGAAATAATTTAGAAAAATAGTCCCACATTTATTTAGTTCTTTTTTTTTAAATATCTGGTTTTCAGTATTATTATTATTATTATTATTATTATTATTATTAATTATGATTCCGTGATAAAGGTCGCCGAAAAATTGATAGTAATTAAATTAATTTTTGCTGATAAGGAAGCCTGTCTCATTAGAAATAATAATCACAAATTTTATGAGTCTATATGAAACTCATTTTTCGACTGTGATTATAATTGAAGAAAAGTTAAAGATTCATCATCAATTCTTCTTTTTTTGTATATGGATAAATTCTTATATGCAAAATTACAATGTTTAGCTTAAACTTAGGAATTTAGTAAATATCTACATGTATGGACTCTTTTCGATTACGATATCTGAGAGCGTCACTGTTCAGCTGAGAACCTGAACCACTAGACAACGTTTACATAACGTTTGAATTATTATTGGAACTGGGTGTTTGCCTCGTGGAATTATTGCTTTGTTTTTATTGCATATATTCATAATAAATATTATCTTGGTAATTTCCTTTATCTTCGTGTGATAAGACAGCAATAATGTTTGACTTAATTAATTACCTTTTATATCTTTTAGACTTTTATATATATATATATATATATATATATATATATATATATATATATACACTTTCTTTCAGATGATACCAGACTGTTAGAAACCATGTTACGTGAAGGTCGGTTTGGTTTAGTTTGGTTTTTGTTTACGGCAGATCAAAAAAAATGGGTTATTTAATGTGCACAAGATTTTTATTGGTAGGAATATATATATATATATATATATATTAAATATAATGTTGGTAATTTTTTTTCAAAAATGTATTGCTAGTAATTTTTTCTTTCAAAAATGTATTGCTGGTAAATTTTTTTTCCAAAAATATATGGCTGGTAATTTTTTCTTCAAAAATGCATTGCTGGTATTGTTTTTCAAAAATATATTGCAGGTAATTTTTTCTTTCAAGAATGTATTGCTGGTAATTTTTTCTTTCAAAAATGTATTGCTGGTAACATTTTTTCCCAAAAGTGTATTGTGGGTAATTTTGTTTTTTTTTTTTCAAAAATCTATTACTGGTAATATTTTTCTCCCAAGAAATATTGCTGGTAATAATTTTTTTGCAAAAATGTATTATTCATAATATTTTTCTTTATCAAAAATGTACTGCTGGTAATAATTTTTCCAAAAAGTTTCGCTAGTATCAAAACGTATTTTTATACTTTTATAGTTTTTTGACCACTTTTTTTTTTCTTTTTTTTTTTTTTGGTGGTATGGGTAACGATAAGCCCATAACTGGGGTGGTATCACCTGTCAGCGTCCCAGCTACGTAAGGAATATATCTATTTCCATCTAGGAACCAGCTATGTCTTAAATATCTGGGTAGACAGAGTTCCCTATCCTACAGTGGCAATCAACGTAAGAGAAGAGCAATTATGTATTGCAAACAGTATAAGAGATCACGTAATATTTTCCCAAAATTCCATCGCCAATGTATAATTTCCAATTTTGACGAGCTTATAATTTTGGTCATCTCTTTGCTTAGAAAATTGCGGTTAAATAATGTGGCAAAGATTAAGAGCTACTGGAGAAATTGCGTAGGTATAGCTTACTATTTATATTATTCGGAATATTGTCCTTATCTTTGACGCAATATTTATTACAACGTTTCGGCCTTTCAGTATCTGTCTATATTTCTGAGATGAAGTATTATGTAGACTATTTACATTATTCGGACTATTGTCCTCATCTTTGACGCAATATTTATTACAACGTTTCGGCCTTTCATACCTGTCTATATTTCTGAATTGAGGTATTATATACACTATTTACATTATTCGGAATATTGTCCTTATCTTTGTCGCCATATTTATTACAACGTTTCGGCCTTTCAGTATCTGTCTATATTTCTGAATTGAGGTATTATGTACACTATTTACATTATTCGGACTATTGTCCTCATCTTTGTCGCCATATTTATTGCAACGTTTCGGCCTTTCAGTATCTGTCTATATTTTTCGAAATGAGGTATTATGTAAACTATTTACATTATTCGGAATATTGTCCTTATCTTTGTCGCCATATTTATTACAACGTTTCGGCCGTTATACACTCAGGTGGTTGGAATGTCGAACTGAACCCTTTATTTAACTCACTGGAGTAGACTGTTCTAGTTCCACGTGCCATGTTCAATCGATGTCAGCTATCAGTTATCTCCTGTTAATTTTCCCTCTGAAATTTCTCCACTGCCTTAACCGGGTATTGAACTCACACTCTTTGGATCCTGTCACTTGTTCTAACTAACGCCTTTATCCACTGTGTCATGTCCTTAAGGACATCTGTGTATAGATTTCTGGGTATTATAAACCTAATGTCTTCAGGAACCATTTTTTTTACCAGTGTTGATATTGCAACTTAGAGAGAGGAATTAACAGGAGATAACTGATAACTGACATCCATTAAACATGGCACGTGGAACTAGAACAGTCTACCCCAGTGAGCGAAATAAAGGGTTCAGTTCGACATTCCAACCACCTGAAGATGGCTCTTCGTACAACGGCCGAAACGTTGTGATAAATATAGCGACAAAGATGAGGACAATAGTCCGAATAATGTAAATAGTATACATAATACCTCATCTCAGAAATATAGAGAGATAATCTAGGTATAGCTATCGAAAAATTTCCAGAGCTATCTATCATTGAATTACGTTTATAACGAATTACATTAACAAATGTTTTCATTTAGGATCTAAGTCCGAATAACTATTCGGAGAACTCCTGAAAGATGCAATAGAAAAATGTATAAAAGACAATGGTGTTATAATCCTCTTCATTTAGATTTCATAGAAATTATTCGACCTTTAACCATAACATATCAATATTCGTCACATAACCTTCTGCTCGTTCGTGTTTATAGAGTCTACTATTGTGGTCTCATGATCAAAGTTTGAGCTTGACTGCACGAGTTTTCTTGTTGCCGTTACAGTGTAAACATGCCCGCTCCGTTAGCAGTGTGCACCAAAGAGAAACACACAACTAGAAACAGATTTCTCTGGTCGGGAGGCGTATCAGGTGATGAAATTTATCGAAGGCTTTTAACACAATACCGAGATAGTATGATTACAGCATTAAGTGCATAATGATTGGATCGGCAAGCTTAAAAATGTCAGGACAGGCATGGCGTACGATGAAGAAGAAGGACGTTTGTCAATCTCTACCGTTGGTGAGAAGATTCAGCAAGCTCGAGGGATGGGAATGGCAAACTGACGAGTAGGTAGCTAGTTCTGTGCAGATTTCGATTTTTGTTTCTCCTTGATGCAAAGTAGTAAGGGATGCATAAAGACGGGGAATCAAAAATTGGAGAGTTGAGTTAAAGGGAAATAACTGAGACATCTGGAAGAGGCATGGCACGTAGAACTAGGAGAATCTACACTGGTGGACGAAATAAATTCGATCCGAATTTCCATTTAACTGAATTCCGGAACTTACAACGGCCGAAACTTTGTGAATATGGTAATGAAGATGAGGATAATGACCCGAATAATGTAAATAGTTCAAGTAATTCTTTTTTGTTCCAATGTTTCCTTCCCTATTTTTTAACAGTTTTCATTATTAAATAGTTCCTTCTTTCTTTTTTTCCTTTTGGGCAGTCTCCCGGTTATTCCTTCTCTTTCGTCTTACCGCATTCCTTTCTTTTCGTTTTACCTCTTTCCTTTCATTTCGTCTTACCTCATTCCTTTCCTTTCGTTTTACCTCATTCCTTCCTGAATCAGTTCTTTGTTCTTTTCTACGTATTTTTTTCTGCCTTTATTTGCATTGTTTTCTCATTCGAATTTGTTTGGCTCATCCTTCCTTCATTAAATAATCCTGGGATCTGCGTCAGCGCTTCGCACGCGGCGACGTCCGTGAACGGGCCACCCGATTGAAAATCGGCGACAGGCGGGAATTTTTCCGTCTTAACTCGAACCATTCAAACGTGGAGCGCGAGACAAGGGATAACTCATAGACAACTTGATTTCAAGCTCGGGGTGTCGTACTTAGTAGAATTTTGTACTTCTTTCTTTCTTTCTTTTCTTTTGTTATTTATGTCTTCCATTCACCCCCCACCCAACAAATCCATTGTTCATTCTTTAAAAAAATACTTTAGTTCTTTCTTTACTTTTTTTCTCTCCGTTCTACTTCCCTACTTTTCCATGATTACTTTCCCAAATCCTTCATAACTCTTTCCTCCATTCCTACCTTTCTTTTGTTTTCTGTCTTTTTTCCCAGATTTTTTTTATTCGTCCCACTTACTCTGCTCATATTTCTTATTTAAAGTTTTTCATTCCCCTTTGTTTTTCTTCTTTCCTTCTGTTCATTCTCGAAATATTCATTCGCCCATGTTTTTCTTACTTTCCTTTCGTATCTTTGCTTTTTCATTCTTCTTATTTTTCACATCCTTCCTTCTTAGCCATTTTTCTTTGTGTTTTTTCTTTCTTTTCGTTCTTCTTTCTTCATCAATTTTCCCTCATCCCTTCAGTCATTCGTTCTTTCGTTTCTTCATTTCCTGGTTTTCTATCTAGATTTTTCTTCTTCCCTAATACATTTTTGTTCAACCTTCCTTGTTAAATATTTTCTTTCAATTAGTCAATTTTTTTTCTTCCATTCAGTTATTTTTTTGTCATTCATTTTAGCTCCTTCACTGCTCCAACCATTCTTTCATTTTTTCTTTCCTTTTCTTTCTTCCTTTGCTTTCCTGTTTCTTTTTACATTGTTTATCTTTCATTCATATGTATTTTATTCTTTGTTTTTTCTTATTCACCTCCTAACATTTTTTCTCTTTCATTCTTTATCCTTCGTTGCTCAAACATTTCCACCAGTCTTTTACTTTTTGTTTTTCATTCTTTCTTTTCTTTTCTCGAAAAATCCTCTAATTTTCGATTGGGATGGGTCTAGCTCTATCTTCTAAAAATAGGAGAAACGCATATAATGGCCAATTAACAATTGGTAGATTTGCGAAAAATATGGTCTTCACGACGAAGCAGAAGAGATCGGTGGTTAATTATTGTAGCCGCTTTGTCTATGAAGAGAGTCCCATTTTAAGCACAATCACATATTAAACAGGCGGACTAAAGCTAGAATATTCAGTCAAATCTCCCGAGCAAGCAACAACAGGACTTCTATCACTATGGAAAGATTTCATCGCTGGTAAAGTTTTATTTTCACACACACACTCTAACGTAAAACAGACAAGTGGTTAACAAGAGGACACGCTATCAAGAGGGCCACTTTTTTTTTTAAAGTTTAATCATATTTTAACCAGGTGGAAGAAAACAAGAAATTTCATTCAAATCTCCCGAGCATGCAACAGTGTTTCGATCATTATTTTCGGTTAGAATATCAGTTGTAAGACCCGATGTATTTTGTCGGGTTAATAGAAGATATTTACACTGGTCTCCCGACTGATACGGGATGTGACACAAAGTCGTTTTTAATGTGGGTAACTCGAACGCGTATACTCGGGCCAAGAACAAAAAAATTCCTCTAGCCACCGCAACCCTCGTTTGCCTTGGCCCCGGTCATTGCACTGATCCCTCTCTCTGGTAACCTGAGAGGTGGCAGCCTCGGGCATCTGCTCCCCAGATATGGGCACCTCACAGTGTGCTTTTCCTCAGTTGCGCCTCTGTCCTCCGACGGAGCCGCAACTGAATCATTTTGCTCGGACAGAGATGCAAGTGAGAGATGATTAACGCCTACACGGGATACACCAGGTAAGTCGACTTAACAGAATATTGAATTCCTGTTACTATTTTATTATTTTATATTATTTTCTGTGTTAATATGACAAATATGTTACAAAACAAACACGTTTTAGAGTGATATGTCTGTGGCAGACTGTTAGATGCACGGCAAGTGGTTTATATTAATTGTTAGGTGTGTAGTCCCACTAGTTTACACCTCTGCAGTAAAGGTTTACATTTTATATCCGCCATATAAGTCGACCTCTAGATTTCGGCTTGAAATCTCGACTTTTACTTTGCAATTTACGGTACTTTCATTTCTCGAAAATCTCGCTAATTTTCAGTGTTCAAACCATTCTTTCACTTTTTCTTTCATTTCCTTTCTTCCCTTGCTTTTCTCTTTGCTCATACATTGTTCATCTTTCATTCTTATTTCTTTTATTTTATTTTATTTTTCTTATTTATCTCCGGACATTTTTCACATTCATTTTCTATCCTTCTTTTCTCAAACCCTTTCTTCGGTCTTTGCCTTTTTCTTTTTTATTCTTTCTTTTCTTTTCTCAAAAATTCCTCTAATTTTTTCTTTTCTTTCTGGTCTATCTCTATTTTTCCAGAAATAGGAGAGGCGCCAAGAATGGCCAGGTAACAATTGGTAGAGTTGCGAAAAAGATGCTCTTCGCGACGAAACAAAAGAGATGAGTGGTCAACAATAGTGGGCCGCTTCGTCTATTAACAGGGCTCCTTTTTAAGCCGAAAGCATAATCACATTTTAACCAGGTGGGAAATACAAGAAGATTCAGTCAAATCTCCCGAGAAACCAACAGTATAACTTTATTACCAACATTGATATCTTTTTATTTTCCACACTTTCTGGCTTTATTTCAATCTATTTTTCTTTGTTTCTTTCATTATTTATTTCTTTCATTCTGTTTCTTTTTCTTTCATTCTATTTGACTTTCATTCTATTTTTCTTTCTTTCATTCGATTTTTTCTTTCATTTTCCTTAATTCTTTTTCTTTTTCTTTCATTCTAGTTTTCTTTCTTTCATTATTTAAATCTTTCATTCTATATTTTCTTTCTTTCATTCTATTTTTCTTTCATTATTTTTTCTTTCTTTCATTCTATTTTTCTTTCATTATTTTTTCTTTCTTTCATTCTATTTTTCTTTCATTATTTTTTCTTTCTTTCATTCTATTTTTCTTTCCTTATTTATTTTCTTCATTCTATTTTTTTCATTATATTTTTCTTTCATTCATTCTATTTTTCTTTCTTTCCTTATTTATTTCCTTCATTCTATTTTTCTTTTCTTCCATTCTTTTTCTTTATTTCAATTTTTTTATTTTCTTCTTTTTTTTTTTTTTTTATTTATTTGAAAATTTTTTTCTAAAGCCTTTTTCTTTTTTTTTGTTTCATTCTTTATTTCTTTTATTTTCATTCTTTTTTAAATTTTTTTTCTATTTTTTCTTTTTTTTTTTTCATTCTATTTTTTTTTTTTTTTTTTTTTCTTTTTTCATTTTTTTTTTTCTTTTTTCATTAATTATTTCCTTCTTTTTTCTCTTTTTTCATTTTATTTTTATCTTTTTTTTTCTTTATTTCTTTCTTTTCATTTTTTTTTTTTCATTCTAAAATTTTTTTAATTCTTTTTTTTTTTCAAATCCAGAATTTATTTTTCTTTTTCTTTCTTTCCTTCTATTTTTCTTTCTTTCATTATTTATTTCTTTATCTTTCATTCTATTTGACTTTCATTCGATTTTTCTTCCTCTCATTCTATTTTTTCTTTCATCTTTTATTTCGATAATTCTATCTTTTTCTTTCATTCTAGTTTTTTTTTTCTTTCATTATTTAATTTTTTCATTCTATTCCTCTTTCTTTCATTCTATTTTTCTTTCTTTCATTCTATTTTTCTTTATTTATTTATTTCCTTCCTTCTATTTTTCTTTCTTTTATTATTTATTTCTTTGGTTCTATTTTTCTTTCTTTCATTATTTATTTCTTTCATTCTCTTTTTGTTTCTTTGGTTCTATTTTTCTTTCATTCATTTAATATTTAATTCTTTCATTCTATTTTTCCTTTTTTCATTCAATTGTTAATTCTTTCTTCCTTTTTAAGGTTACTTTATTTCAAAGTCTTTGATTTGTCCTTCCTTTTTTTACTAAAATATTTCCCATTTTTCTCTCTTTCTCTCTCTTCTATTTTCTCTTTTTCTGCCTAGATATTTCTCTTTCACGAGATCCTTACATTCTTTTCTACTTTCTCTCTTTTGTGTTCTTTCTTTTCATTTTGTTTTCACCTTGCATTTCAAAGAAAACATTTCTCGTTAACTTCCGTCGTTTTCAAAAAACAAAATTTTTAGTCTGCAAATATTTTTCTCTCCCTTCATTTTCATACCTTAGACACATTCAGATAAATTGTACCTCGTTTACGTTCCTGCGCTTAAATGGCGAATGTCGCAACCAGCCGGCATCATATCAAGATCTATGATTCACCTTCGTCTTTTCTTTCTTCCATTCTCTTTAACCATAACTCTTTCCCTTCAGCGGCCATTTTGTCAACAGTTACGAATGTAGTTGAACATAATTTCCGGTTTGTGCGTCAACAGAGATAGATTCTCATTAGATCTAAAGAGAATAGCCCAAGACTGACAACTAACCAGATCCTTGTTGTAGTGAGGCATCAACATACCTGGATACGTAACTATTTCTTTTCAAGGACTGTATTTAATCAACTTCACCCCAAGCAAGAGAGTAAAGTCACAAAGACACAAAGACACAAGGGGTTACAAGGTGTGGAAGACTTAGAAGCATAAATATTACTAAGGAGCGAGGACAAAAATAGCAACTCGGAAGAAAGTAGATATCCATTGACATTGTATTTAAATTTCTGGGGATTAAAGTTGGCTAGATAAGTATGGAACAGGAAAAGAGTTCCATACGCGATAAGTACGAGAAAAGAAATTAGAATAGAACTTCCGGTTACATTTAGCCAGTTCAACTCTAAATTGATGCGATCTCAACGTCAGTCTAGTAAATTCAAAAAGGCTAGGTACTATAGCAAAGAGCTCATCCGAAAAATTACCATGAAAGTATTTATAGAAAAGACACTGAAAACCAAGCATACGACCGTGGGTAAGTAACTGAATCCATGATGACAGATAAGGCCCGACAATATTGCTGATTCTTTTTTTGGATTTTATCAAGGTCCTCAAGGTAAATAGAAGGCGTGTCGGATCATATGTGGCAACAACATTCTACGTATGGTTAAATGGTAGACTCTTGGATATGTAAGATAGATTCTAGAGAGAAAAATTGCTGACCAAGCAATGAATTCAACATAGTCATTCAATTCCATTTCGCCTGAGAACGTGATTCTGAGTATGCGCAACTATTAACTTTCCTGGGGGTTAGCACCATGAATCCTGATAGTGGCCAAAGAGAATCTCTCAGATTCATTTATATTTAACATCAAATTGCTAAATCCGTATCGGAAACAATTTGAAGACTGCTTTGATAAACTAATACATTTATGAGTCTGTTCCTCAGTTGGTGTCCTGTACATATAAAATAAGAGAGAGAACAGAGTACAAAGATAAACTTATCTTATACTTATCTGCTATGGTGAATATGGAATATCATGTGTCATTTTGTTTGAAATGAATGGCCTGGACAATTATTGTTTTAAGAATAAAAATCCATACATGTTTCATCCTTATTTTTAATTAATTTTTTTTTATATATATATATATATATATATATATATATATATATATATATATAATATATCCAAAAAAAAAAAACAAAAAAAAAAAAAACCTAATATTTGTTAAAAATAACAACCCTAAAAGCTTTTCTATCCTTTTTTGACAAATGATTCAAATTTTAGTATGTTAAATTTCTTGATAACAACTTTTTTTTCCAATTTTAATTTCAAATTGATTTCAAAAATATTTCAAAAGATTTTAAATTATATTCAAAATTTTTAAAAAAATTTTAATATATATATATATATATATATATATATATATATATATATATATATATATATATATATATATGTGTGTGTGTGTTGTGTTTTGTTTGTGTGTGTTTTCAATTTTAATTTTTTAATTTTTTTTCATAATCGGTAATTTTTATGCATAAAAATTATTAATATTTATCTGTAACTCACTCTTTTAAACCGATATTTAACTCTTCTCTTTAAAACTTAAATTTTAACCCCCACCTTCACCTTTAGGCCTTCCTGTTCTTCTTTCTTCTGTTACACCCTCTCTCTAGACCTTTCATACATTTCCCTCTCACAACTGTTTCCCACACCCACACTTACACTGTCAATAAAATTTTATTTTTTATACCCGGAGTTATATTTCCCGATTTCTTTTTGAATTTGTAGCTCTGATGAATTGGATCATGACGATTCCAATGTAATAAATTATAACGATGGAATATTAGTGTTTGAGCCTTTTATATTTTAATCTTACTCTGTCCTGAACATTGAGTTCTACCTGGATTCTATCCTCTTGGGGCTTTACTTATATATATCTATATATATTTTAAAGCCAGGCATATATTATCTATCTATCTATCCTATCTATCTATCTATCTATCTAATGGTCTCCTCTCTCTCTCTATCTCTATATATATATATATATATATATATATGTGTTTGTGTGTGTGTTTGTGTTTGTGTGTGTGTGTGATCAAACGATTGTGTGTAAAATGTTGAATAGAATAAGGGTGTTCCAGATGGATTTTTATTTATATATATATATATATATATATATATATATATATATATATATATATATATATGAAATATATATTTCATATCTTTTGTCTTAATTCATTTCATCCCATAATCAAGGCAACAAATCCTCTAAGACTCATGACCAATTAAACGTTGCCTTAATAAACGAAAGGAAGAGAATAGCAGTAAGTGTGGCGTCACATCGTCTGTCTCTCTGCCCCGTCGCCGTTCTATCTTGCGACGACCAATGTGACTTGGTATAGGTCGCGACACCAAACGTGACGTTCTACCCCTTTGCTGATTCGGATGGGAATCTGGTTAGATTCGGTATCAGCCTTGTCGTTCCCAGCTCGCCTTCAACGTCTTGTTACCGAAGTAACTGCTTTGATTTCTAGTCTAACCTGCCCACATTGTGATTTGATCTTAGGTAGACGAAATCAATCAGTCGCCGGGCCGCAATGCAAATCGAGTCCGAACAAGGGTAATACCGCACAAGTATGTAAAAGAAAAGAAAATAATAACTCGAAAAGTTCAAATGTGTTAAAAAAGAATAACAATATTTTATATCTGATTCCTGAATACAGGACTGCGTCTTTCTCCCAAACCGCTAATATGGATTCGTGACACTTTGTGTTTGTTAGGCGAGTCTTAATGTCTTAAGTTGTTTTTTTTTTTTTAAAACTCGTTCTTGGTGTATCTTCAGGCGATATTCGTAAAAATTGTTTCGGTGGTGTGAGTCTAAGTTGTTCTTCAAAAATAAATTGTTCTTGGTTAAGTTGAGGACAGAATGCATGGATCTGAGTCAGCTTTCTGCGAGGCGGGTCTCAGAGCTCACAGTGTCTGCGTCTGCCAACTACGTCTGTGTTACTCACTCTGCAACTGCTTGACTGTCTCTTCTCCAACTGCCGTCCATTTGCTGCTTATATGGACGCCGACCAAAACCGGGGTGGGCTTGTCGTGATTTGAGGTTCCTTGATAATTCTAAATCCACAATAAGGATTTTCTTTGTTTTCGGTCAGCAAAATTTATTACTTTCCATTTTTGGAAGTCCTTACTTTCTACTTTAAGGGAATCGTTCTCCCAAATTCTTCCTTTCTCATTTTGGTATCTCACACCGATCCCTTAAGTGGGCGTCAACAGGTTCCCTTCTTTCTCACAGTGGCATCTCACACCAATCCCTTCAGGAGGCGTCAACAGGCCTCCCCTCCTTCTTCATAGTTTACCTTCGCCTACCACTCACGCCACCCTTCAGCCAATGAATGCTCAGCAGCGTGGGTGTTTGCAATTATCGCTCAAAGAAAAAAAAATATCTTCTTTCCTTTTTTTTTCTTTTTCTTTCTCTTCCACGAGCATGATCTGGCATTTCATCTGCAGTCACTCTCTCACAGACGTTCCGTCGCCTCCCTCTGTCTTTTTTATAAATACTTTCATGGTAACTGCTGCGATGAGCTGCTTTCGCTGGTTCCCAAACTTCATGAATTTAAGCGTTCTACTAGGCTGGCATCTCGCTCTCATTCTTTCATTGTCGAAACTGTTAAATGTAGCCATTTCTTCTACTCCAATAGCTTCATGTCTCACACTTCTCGCCTGTGGAACTCCCTCCCCTTTTCGTCTTTCCCTGATATCTATAATCTCCAACTATTCGAATGTAATGTCAATCGACGTCACCAGATGCCTTGATCCCTATCCTTCCCTTCATCCTTTCTTCTATCACTCCTATTTGCTCTCTCTCCAACTGTGTGTAACCCCTTGCGTGCTAGTGGCTTCCCGCCTTGCTTGGGATGTAACGATTAACACACACACACACACACACACACACATATATATATATATATATATATATATATATATATATATATATATATATATAAACATATATATAAACACCTTCAGCTGTCCCTGTTGTGTAATAAAGTTTCAACGTGCTTCACTGCATCATAGCTGACTTTAAGCGAATGGATGTCAAAACGAGAAAGTTTCTAAATTACAACAATATGCATTATCCTAAGGCCTATGTTAATCGTCTGTATGTGTCCAGAATCGAAGATGGCAAAAGATTAGTTGAACTAGAACTGTCTCCCAATATTACAAGAATCGGTCTTCAAAGACACTTAGAAATTACAGAAGACTGGTTATTGGTCTTTGTGAAGGAACATGAAAGAAGTAAGGAACAGTATTCAGTAACAAAGGAAGCCAAGGAATTCAAAAGGAAATTCCAAGTGGATGAAGAAGATTGAGTAGGCCATAATCTAACTACTGCCATCGCAAATAACTTAAATTTGAAGGCAGAAAGAAATGCAATGAAACAAATGCAGAAACGATGGTACAATGAATATCTTCAAGATCAATAATCTGCCCGTGCCAAACAAGTTGTAGAAAAGCCATGTGACTATCTGTGGTTGTGTAGTGCAGGAATAAAAGTTAAAATGATAGCTAACTAGAAATTATACATTAAACTTACGGAAAAAATATTGCTGACTACAAATTCAGTTATTGAGATCAATATCCAGAAAAATCAAATTGACGATCTTTTATCAGGTTGCATTGCATAAGATTCCGTCGGATATGAAACATTGAATAACAGGCTACACCAATATCTATCCTGAAAAATCCCTAAGTTTTATATCAAAGAAATCTCGGGAAATTAGTACGAAGACTACCCTGCCCCTGGTTACAGTCATAAGACTTAACAATTTGAGACGTGACCACCGCTTTACCGGCGGTAGAGAAAAATGACGTAATGCTCAGTCACCGGTTGAACGGTGTGTAAACACTTGTAACTATTTTTATATCTACCGTGAAACATTACTTACCAATTATTTGCAAATTTTGACTCAGAAGCTCAGGCAGAATTCTAAAAACTTTTCAGGAAAACAGGGATCAAAGCGTTAATTTGCCCCCTTTTCAGACACGGGTATCTACTAAAAAAATAATGTTTGAAACAATAAAAATGTGGGATTAAAGATAAATCCAGAAAATCTTTAAAATTATATATATATATATATATATATAATCGGACGACTTCTTCACTATATATCTCTGTCTATAAAAGACAGGATGTGTGTGTGTGTGTGTGTGTGTGTGTGTGTGTGTGTGTGTAACGAATGCACGGCCGCAATTTTAGACGGATTTGCACCAAAATTTACATGCACATGCTCCAAGTTAGCGGCAAGGCCAACAGCGACGTTGCATTTCCCAACTCCCTTCGATAGTGGAAATAATCGATTTTTTTCATGCTTGTACGGCAGTTTTCATCAAGTTTGAGGCCATTTTCTACTGGCCAGAGTGAGAGCCTATAGCTGGCTGCCACGAATAGGCAGGAAGATTCTATTGGCCAGCGTGAGAGCCAACAGCTTACTGACACGAATGTTAACTAGCATGCAAAAAACATCGATAGCTGCATTCGTCAAACGTGGTAAAAATTTAAATCTGCATGGCACTTTACTCTAATTGGTTCATTCGCTTGCTTAAACTGGTTTGGGCGTAAAAAAGTATTTGTTGTTAACATTCTTTTTTCATTCGGTTTTTCCAGTTACGAGTCCTTTTTTAAAGCTGATCGTTTTGTGTTAATTTTGTTTAGTTCTTTGTTCGTAACAGATTTAATATTTAATATGGAACTTATAAAAAATTCGCAGTGTGAGATAGGCAAGAAGTAAGGCATGTAGCAACATCAGCATGGCAAAGAGCACTCTTTTAAAGGCAAGGAAGGGCAAAACTATTTTGAGTCAAGTGATAGCGATTGCTGTATGAGTCGTACGATTTTTGAATCAAGCACAGGCAACCCCGGGCCATGCTGCTAGCATATACATATATATATATATATATATATATATATATATATATATATATATACATATATAATTATTTAACTTTAATTGCCCTAAACCCCCACTTTTGCGATAATCTGTCCACTTTTCACGAGGTTAATTCATATATGAAATATTTTCACTTGCAAAGAAGATCCGTTTTTTATGACAATTTTCATATTTGCTTTTTTTTTAAAACTCTGTTACGGGCTGGCGCATGTCATGTTTTTACAAGTGCTCCCGTGGTTCCTGATAAAGGTAATTTTCTTTCAACTTTATATTTTGTAATACATGATCGTAATTTTTTCAATTGTTTATTTTGAAATTTTTATTGTACATTTTTGTTTGTATATATACCTTTGATGTATATATATATATATATATATATATATATATATATATATATATATATATATTCTGTGTATGTATTGTATAGTGTCTATTATTTTGTTATATACCATTAGTTGGTTTATATTTGTTTCCGTTTTATTTGTTATACTGTGTTATATTTGCATGTAAGTTACAAAGTAAATATTTATTAAGATGTCTACATTTACCTATTAATTCATTTCTCTTATTTAATAATTTAATTTGATTATTGAAATTTATTATATAAAATTTGCCTACTTTATTATGCAGATTCAGTTATTACGCAGATAAAAATAATATTAGCTTAAGACCTCTAAAATCTAATAAAACAAAACGTTTGTCCATAATATATGTCGAAACATGAGTAAATGGAAGGATTTAAAAACTGTTGAAAAGCAGAAAATAACGACGTTATTGAGTGAGGGAATGTTCACATTGGAGATATCAAAAGATCTTTGCAGATAACATAGAACGAAAAAGAAAGCCGTTGAAAATGTTAGTTGAGAACTCAAAGCTGAGGAAAAGGCTTTAAGAACTCGCTTCCACGAGCTGAACGTAAAATAAGCGAGGAATAACAAAACGAATACTTTTACCCAGCGCTTAAATCTTTGAAAAGGTTAGAAATAAGGTAGACAAGAAGGAGAAAAGTTGTAGAATACTTTGTAAATTGGATTCTGTAAAAATCTCCA